GCATTATTCTTCCGACGTCTGATTTCTTTTTAATTATAGGAAATGCGTTTTTCTAAGGTACATAAACTTTTGGGATTAACTGTATAGCCAATACATCCTTAAACTGTTAATTGAACTTCTCACTGTAGAGGAAGTCAAGACAAAAGAAATAATTTTTTATTTATCGTGATATCTCAATTCGTTCCTAAGATACAGGCTACCAAAGTTTAGGAACAGGTCAGTGACCTACTTAGGCGCATCAGCTGAGTGTCTAGACTCGTCAGTCGGTCAAAGTGCGGGAAGGATAACATCAACCGCGTCGAAAAAATTACGTTCGTTTTCACACGACTATACCTCCAGAACTGGGAATCTGATCGCGATCGGCCGAACACATTTTAAAGAAGGAGCCTTTCTGCTTCCAACAATGAAAATTTCACCCGTGGGTAATTATTTATTGCAAAGTTATAAGTCTTTAACACGTCCCCGCCGGCATGTACCACTGGTGGTACATGGTGGTACATGGTGGTACATAGAAGACTGTCCCATGGGGCGGCATGTACAACTGGTGGTACATACACAATTTTCTATCAAGCTATGAATTAAAGAGCCGTCAGACGGCGAGAACTACAAAAAAGGCCGCCGACGGGAACGTTGGCTTATTAATATTAAATACTAACTTAATTATAATATTAAAGACTACCAAACTTTTATGTCAAAGGTCAGAAACAGGAATACCATAGACGAGGTATAGAAGAATATACCCAGTCTGTGATAACGTGATATCTCTATATATAGAGACTGACAGAGTCGATGAAAGAAAGAGAGGGACTGAAGGACTGTCGATGACGGCCGACGCACCAAGAGAAGGATTCGGAATCGAGATGTTTCAATTCTTCTCGTTATCTCTAATTATCGTTTAATGTTTAACACTAGAATAATTATTTGTCAAAGCGTTTTCCGAAGCTGACAGACAGCAGTAGCAGTATTGCCATTGCCAAGAAGACAGACCCGTACTAACACTGTGACTACTGACAACGATATCGTACGTTAACAACTGCCCGTGAGTGTTTAAACGTTTTCAATTGTTCCCATTTTTCCATAATTTCCCAATTGAACATATATTTCGCGCGCGAATACGTTTTCACGTCGATAAAATCGAAACGAAGAAACAATGTGGGTTATTGCATAATCCATAGGTTATTGCGTTTCATATTTGTTAATTCCGTGTTCATGAATGAAAACACCGAGGTATCACGTCGAAACTCTTGTTGCAGAGCTTGATAATAAAATGGGTAACGTAGTGAACTCTGCTGTCTCAGCAGCGGACGTGATTATGTCTCCACAACAGCAAGAGATACCCAAGCATCGTCACCATGGGATGCATAAACCTAATGGGGAGCCACCACCAGAATGTCCAATGCATAAACCTGCCCCGGAGAAACAAATACCTCTGTACTCCAACGAGTGTCCAATTAACAATATGGCTGCTGAGGACATCAATCCCCTCAACATGGTTAATACATTTTTCATAAATCATACGCTTAAATCTTGGGCAGATTCGTTATGGTCTAAATGAAATCGCAGATGCCACCAGCTAATCAGCAACCGGCACCGGATCAGCCATTCCCACTGCCAACAGACAGACAAGTGTCTTCGATACCGAAAGCACAGGGAGAAGAGCCATTCTGGGTTTATCCATCCCAGCAGATGTTCTGGAACGCGATGTTAAGGAAAGGCTGGCGTTGGAAGAACGATGACATCAACCCGAAGGACATGGACGATATTATTAAGATTCACAATGCAAATAACGAGCAGGCTTGGCAAGAAGTATTGAAATGGGAGGCACTTCACGCGAGGGAATGCGGCACTCCGAAATTGCGAAGCTTTGGTGGCAAAGCGAAACAGTACTCGCCACGTGCACGCATTCGATACTGGATGGGGTAAATTAATTCTAGCTTGTACAATGCTCGGGCTTAATCTGTGTCGAGGGAATCTATGAAACTGTTTCATTTTTTTTAGATACGAGCTACCGTTTGACCGTCACGACTGGATCGTGGACAGATGCGGAAAGGACGTGCGGTACGTTATAGATTACTACGACGGTGGTGCGATCGACGAGAAGTACACGTTCGCGTTGCTAGACGTGAGACCGGCGATGGACTCGTTGGAAAATGTTTGGGACCGAATGAGGGTCGCGTGGTTGCGTTGGAGATACTGCAACGAGTCACAGGAATCCGAATGCGCTACGAAATCCGGTTAAAATTTAAGTAGGAACGGGAAATAGACCAACGAGATTATTAGCTTGTCAATTAACGCGCTCGTTGCTTAAGTTTACTTGTTGACGTTCAGGCAATGTACAGTTTTTCAAATACAAGATTAACGTAGTTATCGCGACAGAAATGCCAAAGATGTTCATCACTGTTTAACAAAAGAGAAATATCGCTTTAGTATTCCGTACGATTCCGGAAGAAATAATTGTAGACGACGACGGAAACTGCTCTAAAAGTACAATCACACTTTTCCTCGAACGTAGTGAATGTACGTTCCAATAAAATGGAAGACATTTGTACAAAATTGATAACAGATCTTTCTTTTCTATATTTCGATTGTTTGCATAGAATCCCTCGCCCCGATAGAATTAAACTCGTTTACATCGTCGAGTGGACGTTTAAAAATTGCTGATATTATTATTATTTAATTTTATACATGTGTATACAATATACTTGGTGTACGTATACAACACACGTATAAGACATCGTTAATAACTATAAAAATTGTTTGATACGTATACAACAACATGGTTAATACATTTTTCATAAATCATACGCTTAAATCTTGGGCAGATTCGTTATGGTCTAAATGAAATCGCAGATGCCACCAGCTAATCAGCAACCGGCACCGGATCAGCCATTCCCACTGCCAACAGACAGACAAGTGTCTTCGATACCGAAAGCACAGGGAGAAGAGCCATTCTGGGTTTATCCATCCCAGCAGATGTTCTGGAACGCGATGTTAAGGAAAGGCTGGCGTTGGAAGAACGATGACATCAACCCGAAGGACATGGACGATATTATTAAGATTCACAATGCAAATAACGAGCAGGCTTGGCAAGAAGTATTGAAATGGGAGGCACTTCACGCGAGGGAATGCGGCACTCCGAAATTGCGAAGCTTTGGTGGCAAAGCGAAACAGTACTCGCCACGTGCACGCATTCGATACTGGATGGGGTAAATTAATTCTAGCTTGTACAATGCTCGGGCTTAATCTGTGTCGAGGGAATCTATGAAACTGTTTCATTTTTTTTAGATACGAGCTACCGTTTGACCGTCACGACTGGATCGTGGACAGATGCGGAAAGGACGTGCGGTACGTTATAGATTACTACGACGGTGGTGCGATCGACGAGAAGTACACGTTCGCGTTGCTAGACGTGAGACCGGCGATGGACTCGTTGGAAAATGTTTGGGACCGAATGAGGGTCGCGTGGTTGCGTTGGAGATACTGCAACGAGTCACAGGAATCCGAATGCGCTACGAAATCCGGTTAAAATTTAAGTAGGAACGGGAAATAGACCAACGAGATTATTAGCTTGTCAATTAACGCGCTCGTTGCTTAAGTTTACTTGTTGACGTTCAGGCAATGTACAGTTTTTCAAATACAAGATTAACGTAGTTATCGCGACAGAAATGCCAAAGATGTTCATCACTGTTTAACAAAAGAGAAATATCGCTTTAGTATTCCGTACGATTCCGGAAGAAATAATTGTAGACGACGACGGAAACTGCTCTAAAAGTACAATCACACTTTTCCTCGAACGTAGTGAATGTACGTTCCAATAAAATGGAAGACATTTGTACAAAATTGATAACAGATCTTTCTTTTCTACATACCACTCGATTGTTTGCATAGAATCCCTCGCCCCGATAGAATTAAACTCGTTTACATCGTCGAGTGGACGTTTAAAAATTGCTGATATTATTATTATTTAATTTTATACATGTGTATACAATATACTTGGTGTACGTATACAACACACGTATAAGACATCGTTAATAACTATAAAAATTGTTTGATACGTATACAACGTTTAATGTTAAATAATATTGTATCATTGTTGATGAGCCATGTATTAATTATTACAGAGTACTTTTTATTGTTTTCATGTCAAATATTCAATAGTTTACCCTGCTTTTATTTCAAGTCGTTTCCACCGTGATGTATATAAATGCTTCTTTTACGTCTTTATTAACATTAGTTGTAATAATAATAATAATAATTGTTTTTCCGTTACTTTTGTTAGTTCACTGTCGGCATCATAACGGCTATGATCATAAAAGTATCAATCGTTTATCCTAATGTCGACATAAACGAACACATGAACAGGAAAGCTCGACACTCCGTCCCAAGGCAAAAAAAAAAAAAATATATTTCTATACAATTGGCACCGTAAATTTCTAGTTAAAACACAAATTAATGAAACTAATGAATAAAAAGAAACCCATCCCACATTATGTGTCGTATGTACAATTTAGCTATAATCAGTTAGTTATTCCGTTAATATCATACACTTAAGGCCCTCGAGCAATTTCTATTAAAAGAGGGCTGAACAGCTTTTAAATAGAATTATGAGGCAAATAACCGGAACAGTTATTGGAACCACAAAGACAACGTGTAACACTCGGATTATGGACGGAATTAACTCCGCCAGCGTAGTTAAAAGTTATTTCTTCCCCGATTCCTATATCTCTGGATGCGAACAAACATAATCGAGGTACCGAGCCCTCGACCCTGATCGGTACGAGATTAGCATTCGGCTCGCAGCTGTGATTCGCGTAGCGACCGATATTACCAAACTGTTTCGGATCTATGCACGTGACTAACGCTCGATCCCCGACATGCTCGGTAACCACCAACACGTAATTCGTGCTGTTCTTATTCGCCTCTACTCTACGCCTGGCTTCCCTCAAGCCTATCACCTCGCCAGCGTACTCGCAAATGAATCGACTCTTTCTGATTGATTTACTAGTGAACAAACCGAGCCCTTTACCACCGACTTCTCGCACAACTAGACAGTTCAACGGACCGTTTTGTATCACTCTATTACCGCAACCGCTGTCACAGGTGCAACGAGAGTTACACTCCATTATAGGCCCTGAAGGTTTCTCCTTGTCTACTATCAGTCCATCGATATAATTTGGAGTGGCGCGCGTACACGAGCAACGATCAGAGTCGCACCGAGCCGTGCATGAACAGCCTACGCTGTACTCCGACTCGAATTCGTCCAGATCGATGCCGGGACCTGGAATGTTGCACGCCACGTACATCACGTCGGGCACATCGTGCTCGTACTCGTCGGCATTCGCATCCATGATCACTCTTTTCACAGTTCAGCCGAACAGATCCAAAAGATTCTTTTCAGAATTGAGCAGCGTGAAATAAAGTAAACGATTGTTTTGCTTTTGTCGCCTCGTGCGCGTGTTCTAACAGTCCTCTTAGCTGTTCTAGTTTAATTTCGACCACTGACGTCCAACAGACCCACGATCGACGATCTCATCGTTTGCAACGCGCTGCTTTTAGGCAACGGTATGAATCTATATCCCATGTAAAGAATCACTCCCAGCAACGAAGCTTTAATCGTATATTTCAATATCTTGGTCGACCACGCTTGAGGAGGCACTCTACAACCAAAATAAGTCGATACTCGTCGAAGATTTACCTTTACGATGGATATCCACGTGTATCATACCGTCGTACCAATTGGTCTTTTCAATTGAGAACAAATTCTTGGAAGCATAAGGTTTACGAATGATCGTCACAACGGTATGCTACAAGAGGATAGCGAGAAAGCTAGGACAACTAAAATACCGCATGATAGGCCTTATGTCATCGGTCTTCACGTTTCCCCAAAGTTCCGTGATCCCAGTAACGTGCCCTATACCAACGACTGCGACGATTCTCAACGGTTCAGTGACGTCTGGTTTTAGTATAGCCCGTTGCGTGGACACTTGAAGAGAGTACGCTAGGTACACATCTCTTTCCCTGATAAACGTTCTTTCTATAGACGGGAATTCTTCCTTCAACTTCGTGACCATTTCGGCTATCAGATGTTTCCCTTTGAACCTCTCCACGTCCTCCTTACTGATACGAGCGTCCAGTCGTACTACCATCCACAGGAGTTTTATAATTTCCCACCAAGTCAGTTGACACAACGTACGTTGGAAAGTTATGTCGATCGAACGATCCGCCAAATGAATCATACAATTGGGAACCTTTTTCGCCTGAACAATTCACGATTAATCCTTGTGCAGTTCCTTAACCCATTAGCATCATTTTTTTTTAATATTGAACCGAACGATCATAATTTTATATGAAATTTTGTACATTCTTTATACTATATTCACGTATGATGCGAATGAGTTGAATGAAACGACGACCGATTTACCTCTTCAAACGCGGTGCGGAACTCGCCACCCGGTGGCATTCCTAATTGCTTCACGATATCGGCTACCTTTCGGCTCAACACAATATGCATGAGTCCCTTGTACAACCCGAATTCTCTCAGCATATCTACTACAGTATCTACAAAAAAAAAAGGATTGGAAACAACAGTTGGCCCTAGATCGTTCTAATTTGTTCTCCTAATTACTCTCGTTCGAGAATAGAACTTACGAAAATCGAAATTCGCCGCATTCTCATAGAGAGCTTCCTCGTTAAACTGCATGATTTGCACTCTGTGTCTACACAGTTCGACCGCGACTACGTGAGGCTGTACAGCTCGAATGATCTTTAAAAAACGACGATACGTAGAGCTACGAATTTAGTTGTACACCTATCGAATGTCTAACCGAGCGACTTTAAACGAAAACTGTTTTTCCATACATTGTCAGACGACGAGATATGATCTATTTACCGTTGCAACGTCATTCTGGCTTTCGACACTAAAATGTGCCGTGCCTATCAAGTACAATTTCCCTCCATCTGGTGTTTTGAGCAACGTCACCGTCTCTGGCAGCCTTTCGTCTATCGTTTCGTCGTATTCTGGTTGCATGTTTACTATTTCGTTAACTTTATCATTGTCTACAACATGAGTAGGCGTCAACTGGTTGGCCTCGAGATCTGAAGCGAAAACGATATTGATTTAGATTGTCTTAACTATATACGTCTGTAGTCTAAATCTCTGGGGGGCGATGGAATTGATAGGAATTATTCTAAATAAACGACAATAATACCTCGACGTTTTGATTTTCTTCTAGTTTTGTGTTGAACAGGCATTTTGAAAGCACTATCATACTATTATGTCGAGGAGTGTCGAGAGTAACTAGATCTACATTGATTTTATTATTGTATTAGAGGAACGAAAAAAGGGAGGAATAGCTCGTGTCTCTGTCTATAGAAACCTTAAAACATCAGCTGTTTCTCAAGTGTCTAATAGTAATATTACCAAACTGTCGAATCGTCAGGAAGTCCATATAACCAAAGTAACCTTGCAGTCTAACATTCACGAGTGTGTGGGACTAGTACGACTTACGAGTTCCTTATCTAATAATTCTTTTACCGTCACCATTTATCGTTTCGTCCATGAGCTCAAGACAAGCCTTACAGATAAGTCTCGCTTTATTGTGAGGCCATCCTGGAGGCACGCTCAAGAGCACCATATCGAAATTCTCATTTTCATCGTCCTCGTCGAGCAGAGTATACGTGTCAAATTCTTCGGCGACTTTGAACTTTGTTTCTTCCTTGAAGTTGGCATCGCTATTAATTGAGGTCATTTTCTACCTAACAATCGAAAGTATCCAAATCATATTTTGCTGGAACAAGAAGCACACACACCGATCGAACGAAAATATTCTTCATGCCAATTAATGACGAACGATGAGTCAAGGAGTGAATGTAAAAAGACGAAGGGGCGGCAATAAAGATCATCACACGAGGAATTACTCCGGGTATCGTTTACCTCAAACAAGCCTTGCGTAACCTCGGAACGTAACAATATGGTACCACAGGACTTGAATGAAATTGTCGACTTGTATAAATGAAAATTGTTAAATGAACTTTTGTACATTAAATCAGTCAGTTCTTGTGTCGCGTGAATTTTTTATATTCATTTTTGATCGATTAATAAAAGCTCTGAACGATCACAGATACTGTGTAATTGTCTCTTCTAATTATATATACATGTAAATGAGGCGCGTCTGTGTTCAACGCGTTTTTTTTCTTTATATCTAAAGATTAAAAGAATTTATTCGAATGGTACCAATCAATCTTTTACGACGTAGAGAAATGGGAATAAATCTGTGTAAACGACTCTTTTACATAAACAAATATTCCTCCGCGGGTCGATTTTGCCCGGGCACAAATGACCCAGTTTTACATGTACAGTAAGGGTGAAAAGTAGAGTGTAGAACGTAGAATATAAAAGTTGGGAATATCAGTTTTAAGAAACTGGAAATAGGATAAATAGAACGTAGAAGAGGAAATACGTTTTATATAAATTTGATTTCAACTTCTTCAAATCTATCACAACAGAATAAATGATTTGTTCGACAGAAACTTTTCCCTACTCCTAAGAAAATATTTTATTTACAAGCAAGCATACGGCATAAAAGACACTTAATACAATGCATTTCATAACAGTTCCCTCAACAGACAAGATAACAATTATAAAATGTTAGTTATTCTATAATGAATTGAAAATTTAAACAATTTCATTCAAGTCCTGCAATTATTACCATCTGCCTAGCACTTGATTACACTCGGGACATTTTCCATTCACATACACCATAGTAAACGATGAATAACCGTGTATTTAATTAAATCGAACACTTGGATAAATACGAGGAACAGAAAACAGCGAAACGTCTAACAATCTGTTATATACCTGCGTGCGATTCTGATGCGAGGAGAAAGAACACCCGTAACCAATGGGAAACGGTGTGAAAATGCACCAAAAAATCCCGTCGGCCTTCGAATACCGAAACGAGTTAATCCACGAAAGCTTTACGCAATTCTACTTTGATATTCGTCTCAATTTCCTTTCCTTTCCTCTCATTCAAAGTGTCTTATAAGCAAAGACGATGACGCACTGTATTAGTTCTGTTGTTCACTGGCGCATAATGCCAATTGTTATCCCGGATCCCAGGTATCAAGTATTTAACATTATCGAGCAAACGGTTTTTTCTTGAGTCACGTGACTAATCGAGATTTACAAATTTCCCTGCGCTTTTTTCGTTAAAGCAACGGTATCAGACATTTGGCTGCCTGATAAGGGCCAGATGGAGCTGTGTCCAGAGTTTATTATAAATACGAAATGAAATTTCGCTTAGAACTGGTATAGATGAATATTTAAAATAGTTGTATCCTAAAACGGATAATAGGAAAGCTAGTTCTCCCTTAATGAACGGCATTAGTCTTATTGTTCTCCCACCCAATTTGATATGTAAAAAATGTATTATAAACGATGACAAAGATAAAAACTTATCTTTGCAAATAGATGTATCATAATGAAGTGTATTTGGTTTCAAATGAATTGTGTAAAGAATATAAATGATTCTCGAATTCAAAGATCGTATATGTTTTATCTTTACTTACTTCCATTTGATTGTTAATCACGATTTTATGGTGTCACTTGAAACAGCACACGACAAACGACGCATGGAAGAGAGTACTCAGCAAAAGGCAGAGTACTCTCGTATGGCTAATTATTTTTAGAGATTGTATTGTTACTTACTGATTCAACGAACCTCTGGGAAGCTTGGAAACATCTGACGAACAGCCGTTGGCCGTAGTACCTCGTACATACCCCGTAATCCATCTTCAATCTTCCCTTCAGGACATTCCATTAGCACTGTAATCACTATTGTTGCACGAATAACATTAATATGCGTTCGATTTCGAGATTAATATGCGATCCAGCTACCAAGTTCAAACATCAAATGCGATGCTGAACAGCGGCGCTGTGTGGATGAACGCGGCGGAAAAGTTTGAACTATACCCGGACAGTGATTCTCATACATTGCATGCAATAATATCGAATACGGAAAAGATTAGACAAAAAATTATTACCGAAATGTTCCCGTCCTGTCCATTTCTTATCCTCCTTCACTCTGGTCTGCTCATTATCACCGTCTTTCGTCCAATAGATCGAGTAAAATGCGTGTAGATTGCAGGGAGGGAAGTACTTGCGATGCCGGGCGCACGTATGACGAAATTCCTTCACTTCGCGGTAAAGATTATAGCTACCTTCATTTGTACATGCTCCGGGATGCACAAAGTACACGAAACGAGCAAAATTCTACTGTTTTCTATTCATTTTCTAGAAAAATCCACAAATTTTTCACGACAAAGTACAACGCAGTATAACGTTCGCCGGCAGGCAAGATGGCGACTGGCGGGCTAACGGAAAAATTGGCGCGTATTTAAAAAAAATGGCCGACAGTAAACTTTGTTATCGATTATTAAATTTCGAATTTTTATGTATTTATGGATGAATTATATGTATGAAAAACGTAAGGAATGCAAATTTAATAATATTTAGAACATAAAACCATGCATTTGAACTCCCATTAATAATTAAAACATCGTACAAATGAATGACGTCACCGTTAAGTTTTAAACATATATTTATTATTCTTTTCTTTGTGATCCACACATTCACACAGTTCTTAGAGCTCTTTACACACCTCGCATAATTTATATTAAGTTGTTACCGTTCATTTTTTGAGCTGCATTCAGTAAAAATAATCTTATTCAAGCGGTAATGAATGACACTCGACTTGTGCAAATCTGGAGGTATCAAAATATTTTCTTTAAGTTATCAAGGAAAAACGATACTTTTACTTTTTCCATTCCCTGTCCCCTCTCCATAGAGAGTGTCTCTCTCCTAATTTTCGTTTGCCCTTACTGTCCATCCTTTAACAACGCAGTAAATCTTTCTCTCTTTTTTTTCCTCTCTGCCCTTGCGATCGGAATTGTTTTAAGGCCGTCTTCTTCCCCGCAACATAGGAAACCACGGTAAGTTTGATTTCTCATCGTCAACAACAAGACTACAAAATCTCGCTTGCACCTTCTGATAAATTACGTGTGAAACTTACAAACAGCGATCCTACCTAATACAAAGTTACAAGCAAGTATAGGCTCATATAGAATCGTGTACTACGTTCGTAGACACATCACACGGTACCATTTGACTATTTCATTTTGATTTTGTATAACAGTTGATTTGAAACGTACACTTAATTGGCACACGTTTCTATATTCGATCATACTTGCCTGCCTCACTGCACAGACTCTCGTCTCGACAAGAAAAGGAAACATAAAAATTCGATAGAAAGCCATTCTTAACGCTAAGTACACATATCGGTAGTTTCTTTACATGTATAAGCTCATTATAGTTACGGAAATATTCTATTCTCCTCTCCCCCCCTTGCACAAATGATACACTGCGCAACCGATGATCAATTTACTGTGTGATACTCAATCCCTGTTTATTCTTTTTTTTTTAAGTTTACCGAGTTTGACTAGTATGCAATACTTTTATACAA